GTTAAGTTCCATCGAGTCAATTCTGACCCATAACAACCTGTATAAGGTTTCCAAGTAACGCCTGGTGAGCTTGAACCTCCGACCTTGTTGTTCAATGGACTTTGCCATCCAGAGCAGTGACCCACAGAGCCACACCAGACTCCAGAAGAAAAGAAATAATGAAAATCAGAGTAGAAATAAATGCATTAGAAAACAGAAAAACAATAAAAGAACCAACAAGACAAAAGGCTGGTTCTTAGAAAGGATTGATAAAATCCACAAGCAAATGGCAAATCTAAAAAAAAAAAGAAAGAGAAGACACAACAAGTTGAAGAAACCACATGGGTGACATTACAACAGAACCCAAGGGAAATAAAAAGGATAATGTCAGAATACATGAAGAGCTGTACTCCAACAAATTTTTTAAAGTAAAGAAGAAATGGATATATTTTTAGAAAAACACAGTCTGCCAATACTATTACAGAGTGAAGTAGAAAACTTGAACAGACCTATAACAAAAGAAAAACTTGATTAGGTCATTTTAAAACTCCAAGCAAAAAAAAGTGCAAGCCTAGATGGCTTTGCTGGTGAATTTTACAAAACATTCAGAGAAGAGCTGACACCAATTTTACTCAAATCATTCCAGAATACAGAAAAGGATGGAAAACATCTGAACACATTTTATAAATCAAGAATAACCATCATACCAAAGCCAGGCAAGGACATCACTAAAAAAGAAAGTCATAAACCAATATCCCTCATGAACATAGATGCTAAAATTCTCAACAAAATTCTAGCCAACAGAATTCAACAAAATATAAAAAATAATAATACATAATGACCAAGTGCGATTCATTCCAGGAATGCAAGGATGGTTCAATATTAGAAAAACAATCAACATAATATAGCAAATAAATAATAAAAGAAAAAGAGCCACATGATTATATAGATTGATGGAGAAAATACATTTGACAAAATCCAACATCCATTCTTGATCAAAACACTCATCAAAGTAGGAACTGAAGGGAAATTCTTTAACATAATTAAAAACATATATACTAATCCAATAGCCAAAATTACTCTCAATGGAGAGACACTGAAAGCATTCCCTTTATAAACAGAAACGAGACAAGAGTGCCCATTATCACCACTCCTATTCAATACTGGAGTCCTGGTATGGTTCTGTGAGATAATGCACTGGACCACAAGGTCATTTTGAACTGCAAAATCAGTGGTTCAAGATTGTAACAAACTTAATGGCA